TGGTATTAAAATTATTTTAATTTAAAGTAGGGGAGTCATTTAATGTCATCCCTGTACTAATCAACATCTAAAAAATAATAAACTTCATTATTACTATTGAACTAAAAGTATAAATATACAAATAATTGAATGAAACATTTTATTATTATTATAATTTTATATTATATTAAATATACAATAATTTACATTTATTTCAACACTTTCTCGACCGCATCGACAGAGGATTTAGGCTCAAAATCGGCGGTCCAGAGCTCCTGTTCCCCATAACCCTGATCAAAAATATTGGAGTATTTATCGGTAAATCCCCAAACTGTGACTCCGACACACCTTTCCACATTCATACAGGCGCTAAATGCGTGGCTATAATCCTGGGCCTGTTTGGCTTTCTTGTCGGCTGAGCCTGGTAACTTATACCGGATATTAAGCTCAGTAATAGCCACATCCACTCCCAAATCGGAAAATCGTTGAATATTATGTTGGTAGTTTGTGGGGATATTACCCTCCCGGAAGTGTGCCTGCATACCGACCCCATGAACGGGAACTCCCTTAGCCTTCCACTCCTTCACCAACTCGTATAAGGCGTCCGACTTCTTGTTCTTGCCTTCGATGCCGTAGTCATTAATGTATAGCTTGGCGTTAGGGTCGGCCGCGTGTGCCGTATGGAAAGCCTCCTCTACGAAACCAGAGCCCAGAGTTCGCGAGAATAGACTGTCCCTCAGCTTATTGCCCGACCCGTCCTGGTTGAGCACCTCATTGACGACATCCCACGCGTAGATCTTACCTATGATTTTAAAACATTAATTATAACTATTTTCGTAACTATTTTCGAGTAAAATGTTGAGAGATTATCATAAAATTTTAAACATCATTTCTTAATCATAAAATTAAGGGGACTGTCTTAATTGCCATACCCGCCAAACTTTCGCCAAACTTTTGCCAAACTTTTGCCAAACTTTTGCCAAACTTTTGCCAAACTTTTGCCAAACTTTTGCCAAACTTTTGCCAAACATTTGCCAAACATTTGCCAAACATTTGCCAAACATTTGCTAAACATTCGCCAAACTTTCGCCATACCCGCCAAACCCGCCAAAATTTCGCCAAACTTTCGCCATACCCGCTATATCCGTCAAACCTGCTATATCCGACATACCCGCAATACCCCGATTATTGAAATATTTGACCCGCCATACCCCATTATAGCAAACCAAATATAACTATAGTGGGGGTCTGGCGGGTATGGCGAAAGTTTGGCGAAAGTTTGGCGGGTATGGTGGGTATGGCGAAAGTTTGGCGAAAGTTTGGCGAAAGTTTGGCGGAAGTTTGGCGGGCTGGCAATTAAGACAGTCCCAAAATTAAGTATTACTCAAATATATTACTATTAAACTAATAAAGTTATCATTAACTAATTCTAATATTGAAATGCAAATGAATACCAGTAATGTAATTGTATAGGAATTAAATAACTTCAAAAACTCTACAGTATATTACAGAATACTGTTTACAAAATACATAAAATAATAAACTAATTAAATATAATAATAACTTTAATCATACCTTTAAAGTGTCCAGCAACTTTGTTAATATGATCCTTAACTACTTTCTGGAGCTCAGACTTTTTGCCGTCCAAAGCCATGGCATAATCCGGTATACGTTTGTGCCACAGGAAGGTGTGTCCCCTGAACTTCATGTTGTTTTCCTCGGCGAGCGCCACCAGTTTGTCGGCATTATCCCACTCGTAGTTCCCTTTACTGGTCTCCAGGAAACCCCACTTCATCTCATTCTCGGGTGACATGGCGTTGAACTCCTGACCCAACACTTCCAGGTATTTCTCGTCTCCCAGTGCTTTGGATGTGGCGGCCGCTCCGATGTATTTCTCTTTGGCGTGATCTCGGAGGTGACCCTCGATCGAGCTGCCGGTGCCCAACATATTCGTGCAAAATTAGATTTAATTAGAAATTTGAAATACATGAAAATTATACTTGTTCAAATATTAAATTATATTAAATACTTACACAATTAAAATGGCGGCTAGTACTAATTTAGACAACATTTTGTTTTGTCTAATATTAAATTAAATAAAATGATTTTCTCAAACTTTTTATTACTTATATATTAAACAGCTATCAATGAGAACTAAAAATACCTTTAATCTTAATCTATTAGACTGAATCTTTACAATAGCCTTCAAAGAACAATATGCACTTGGTACTTTTCAAGGATTTTTAAAAGCGTACCCGGTTTAAAATATGTTCCCCAATCTTATCGTACCAATTGATTTCATTAAATGAACTCAATTACAGTATTATTTATAAATTTATGTTATAGCCTTTGGTTAATAGACGTAATGCAGTATTATAAAAAATATGTTTAATACATCGATGAATTGATTTTTATAATGATAAATAGATTCATTCCTTGCTTCATTTACTATATTCCATATATATATATAATATATATATATATAATATATTATATATATTGAATAGTGCACTTTTAGTTCGTAAATTATCAAATTTCTCCCAGATCAACAAACAAATGTTAATTATTTCAATCGTTTTTCGATATGGTTTTAAACAATATATTTTTATAAGGTACGCAAATGAGTCACTACAATTTATATTGTTTTAAATGAATGTTACAATATGAGAAGTTACACAGTACATTTAATAAATAATTGTATTATTATATTTTCAACGTATTAAGAATTTATATTTATAGATGTAATAATTAGGAATGAAAAAAAGTGGGCATGCATTAAATGAATGACCCCTCAAATATTATAAAGTATTAGTAATTTTTACAAATAATTACTTTTGTCACAATATTTATTAATGCATTGAAAATTCATTTTAAGTTTATATTCTCACACCTTGATTCATTTAACTTGATAGGCTTTCTGTAAGGCATAACAATCTCTAAATAATAAACTTAAATATTGTATCATCAATAATGAATATTTTTATAAAATAAAATAAATTCAATTCACTTGATGAGATTTTTTTCAAACAAAAATTATTGCTAATAGATTACTTGTAAACTATGAATACAATTTGTGTTTCATTCAGTACGTACACATAAATACATATAAATACACATTACAATGCTTTTACTATTTTATCAATTACAATAATTCACTTTGTAATTTTGACTTGATCTGTTTATATTTAAAATATTTACCCGTACTATACATGCACCAAAATACTATAAATTTATATTGACCGGTAATTGATTTGCTGTAAATTAATTTTTAAAATTACTTAATATGATTTTGTTGATAAAAAAATATTGCATAGAATATAATGCAATAGAATTTTAAACTGTTGCCTATTTCTCATTCTCACATTTAATTTATTGATTTTGTCAGAAACATGTATTATAAACATATTTTATCTAGCATCTTTTATATGTTAATTCTAGAGCAATATTTAAATTGTTAATTTCTCAGATCTATAACAATTAATATATTTAATTAAGTATTTGATTTTTAAAAAAATAGTCTTATTCTCCCTTATTTGAAAAATCCTTGATACTTCATCTATTACCTCATAGTGTAATTTAATTTTAATTATTTGAAAATAAAAATATTTGAAAATTATTTTATGTTTTGCTGTGCCACCCTGTATATTACATTGCTTATCATTGTATCATTCATATGCTACATTGTTCACATACGGTTTCACATTATACTGTAGTAGTAGTTAGAATAGTAACGAAATTTAAAATTTCTATGTAGGATAATTACAGTGTCATAAATATACCGTATTTTACTTTATTTTCATATTAGACTTTAATAATTATTTTATATTAAAGCAAAATAAGGTATTTATTTTTAGATCCTATAAAATATAATTTTAAAATATATAATCTAGAAAAAATATTTCTATAAATGACACAAAAAAATTTATTACATTTTAAAATTTAATATAGATTTTAATTGCAAATAAAGTGCAAATATATTTAAATGTGCAAAACTTTTAGAAAATTATTTATTGAATATAAAATATAATATTAATTTAATTTCACTTTAAAATGTCATATTAAGTGCGAATTATTATCTTTTGATAAAAGCATATGAATATAACAAATGAAAAATAACTTTATTATAACTTTTCGGATACAGAGATATGAATTGAAAGCCGGAATTCAATCGATAGTAATATTAAGGCTAATATACATTGTCTTA